CTCACATGACTTAGACTATGTTCTGCCACCCTCAATTTATGGACTTCCCAGCACCAGCAATTGCTGCCCAAAGCACCATTGTGGGTACAAGAAAACACAAAAGAGCTGTGACGTCAAGATTTGGGATAACAAAATATGCTATTGTCTTTTCTGATGCCTATGGAACATCTTTCTTTTACAACAAGCCTTTTAAGCAGAGATTTTTATACCAGTCTGTGCCTGTATTGGATTTGAAATTGTTTTTATATAAGAAATTGCTTTGTACTTGTTTGTTACAGTTAAAGCTTTTGTTGTTAAATCACTACAAGGTGTTTCATAGGAAGCAATTCATTTTTTTAAAAAAAATGTTGCATGTTATTGGGAGGAGGTGGTTTCTGGCACCATTGAGAGCTGTCCTTTCTCACAGCACAAAAAGAATTAGCTAGTTTTGAATGCTGAGATAAAAGGGTTCAGGAAACAACTGGTGAACTCAAGCTTAGCTGTCAATATTTAAGCTTAATATTTGCAAACTGCTAACATTTTTTGAAAGATAAATGTTGCACTCCTGTTATGCCAGCCTCTGAATTCCTTGTTGCCTTTCCTTTTCACCTAATCTTTCATAATTGTTACTGGTTTCCACGATCATATTCCCTACCGGCAACCTGACCCCTCTGCTTATGGGTGACATTCACCATATTGATTCAGCTTGGTCTCATCAAGCAGCAATTTGTACTAATGGGATAACACTTGGTGACAGCACGCAACAGCAAGCATTTGGAGCAAAATATCCTTTTCTTTTGGCCCATTTCTGCAACAGTTGTTAACTCGTTAATCACCATTTCCTTAAAAACACATTTCCCTGCATAGCAAAATATTCTGTGGACATTTAGGAGCCAATTCATATCCTCTCTTTTTTTTATCCCCCAGCCCAGAAGTCAACACAAAATAAATAAATCTGAATATAAGTATATATATGAATCTCCAAGTGGCATACAAAAATATAGTATAAACACGATAGAAGAGTCTCATAAAACAGATTCATATATAAAAAACCCTACACTATAGTTCAATTAGCGCTGTGTAATTTACCAGATACTTTTAGCATGCTGCCATTTTTATTTCCTTTTTTTGATAGGTACCCAATAAATAAATGCCCAGGAGAGGGAAAAACGATACCCTCCCACTGTACTCCCAGCACTCGCTTCCTAAATACAGCTAGGAAATTAAAGCAGCCATGGACAAGTAGAGCAAAATGGCTGCTATAACTTACATGTAAGGAAAAAAACAAACTCACACTCTCATCTTCTTCATTGATAAATGCATGTTGTGAAGGAAAATTCTGGACTTCTCTTTGTCACAGACTCTCCCTGCTCACTAAGCCCTGTTTCCTCTTCAGCTTCGGACGCCTCCTCTTCCCAGTCTTCTCCCTCTGACCACTCATTGTGGTCCAACCACCATTCCCCTGGCTCTGAGTCTTCTTCCCTTGGAGGTTCCTCAGCTGTTTTCTCCCACCATTCTTCTGCATCCAACCAGTCCCTGACATCAACCTGCTGCTTCTTCAACTGATTTCTCTCGCATTTGGAAAGTTGGCACAACTCAGCCAAGATATCCTCCCTAACACATAGTGCTATCAGAAATCATCTTGGTTTCTTGTGGTGCTATCAGAGAATGCAACACATCTGAACAATAAACCGGCACTCGTGGCTCTATAATCTAGTTGTGAATTATTTTCACGGTCTTTGCTCTTTTTTCACCTAAAGACTAAGTTAAAATGAATCTATAATCCACCAAGATATACAGTCATTTCTTTTTCAAAAAAGATAATGACAAGGATGACTTGGTGGGCAACAAGGCATATTTAAAATTGTAGGAGATTTGATCAAATTCAATGAGAGAAACTCTTCTGACTGATGAGGAGGCTGGAGAAACAAGAATTTTTTGTTAAAGGAAATTATGACTGAAAGAGCTATTTCAGTCAAAGAGTAATAAGCATGAGGAATAAATTATTACTAGATGAAATCAATAAAGCAAGTAGTAGAAATAAATTTAAAAGCCTACTAGTTACCCTTTTGCGAAGAGAAAGAAATTGCATGTGTTTCACATTCATAGATCTGAAGAATCTTCAGAGGCATCCAGACTTTTATATGACCTCTCGACCTCTGTTCCTTCGCCAGTATGTCAGCACTAATATGTTCAGTGCCTCGGTGTCCTTCACTATACAACCCTGATGGAAAATTCCACAGGAAGCATGAAGCATATAAACAATGTTCAAGAAAAACATGGAAAACTAGGAAAGAGGTGAAGTATAAGGACAATAAAGGATCCTTTATGACAGCCTTCTCTATCTGAAGTCCTCTGGGTGTTGCTGGACTCAAACTCTGCAAGAGTCACAATTTTACCTGCCACACACTTAAAATCACATATGGCAGATGACTGTGGTTTGGCACAAACTGTCTCATGGGCCAAATGGGGCTGAAGATCCCCCACCAATGATTTCATGTTTTGAGATTGAGGCATGGCAAACTTTGGTGCTTCCCCAACTTCTTATCCACATGCACAGTAAGAGAAGGAGATTGAAAACTTACGCTGCTAGTTTTGAAGCCATCATTGTTTCCTGTTGCATCCAGATTTGTGCTTAGTTCAAACTAGCCAGAGTCAAACCATGGTTTCGAATCCTGGTTTGATAACTAATTACAGTCAAATAGTCTACAGTTTCCCGAGTTTGAATGTAACAGGAAACTGTGGTTTATTCAAAATGAAAAAGCGCAAGCTTTTGAACTCATCCCAATCTGCAGAAAGGAGAAGACATGTGACCAAGGCTCATTGCAGCTGATTCTCATTATCCTGAACCATAGTTTAACACTATGCCTCAGCAGGGCTGTTGTCAGTTAAAACTAGTGAAATTCCCTGAAAAGTTATCTCCATGTTTTGCTGAATGAACAAAGAACACACATGAGGTTATCTGCTCAATATGTAAACTGCTAGCTAGGCCCTTGGGGTCTGTCAGGAATCCAGTCACAAAAATTGTTCGTTCACACAAGCCTCTCTCTTGTGTATTCAGAGCCCAGGAGCGACTTGAGGGAGTCAGGCTGTGCCCATTAAAGGCACACAGAAGGCAGCCTTAAGGCTAAACAATGTGTGAGATATCCCTGTGTGTGAACTTCTGTAATCTGTGAGAAAAATGGCAAGAAAGGAAGAACAGAGTCTGCTTTTGGCCACATGGGGACATTCCAAATGGCACAGCTGTGCGAAAACAAACCCGCGATTCCAGCCTGAGGGCAGAGGACATTAAATGCTGCTCCTCAGAATATTTTTCTTCTACTTTAGCTGGCTTGTCTGAAAGACTTTCTTCTTTTTCTTTTTTTACTGAGTCTGGTTACAGGCTTTCAAAAAAATAAGAAAGCAAGGAGGAGAAAATATATGCTCAATGTTTTTTTGAAAAATAAAAAAAAAGGCTTTGAACAGTAGGTGAGGGTTTGTTTCTCAAACAAGTGCAGACTTGGGCCACCCAGGTCTCCTGAAAAGGGAGCCAGGAAACAGATGCTTTCTAAGAGAGCGGGAGGGAATGTTTAAGTCTGAAAAGAAGTCACCGTTCAGGGAAAGTTAAACATTAGAGGGTTGAATTAGAACAGGAGACCTAAAACACAGAATGGCTGGCATCTCAGTTGGCTTCCAAATGACATCAGCAAGTGTGGAATTGGGGGGGGGGACACACACCAAAATAATTATTTCCATAGGTCTCATCTGCACTATACATTTAAAGCGCTATGAGGCCACTTTAACAGTCATGGCTTCCCTCAAAGAATTCTGGGAACTGTAGGGTGCTGAGAGTTGTTAGGTGAGTTGTTAGAAGCCCAAGCTGGCTCACATGGCAACACAGCACCGAAAGATGTGTGTCCCGATTTAATCAGCAGAATGTTGGAGGGCATGGTGTTATCAATGTTCAAGGACATGTTCCAGTCAGGCAAAGAAAGTTGGGGTACAAGTAGTCTGGGGAAAGATGGCGCAGCTGCAAAGGATTCCAAGGGCAAGACAGAGAGTCCTAGAAGACTTCATTACGCCCCAGGGCCTGAGGTTCCCCACCTCTGTCTTGGTGGAAAAAGGCAAGTGCTTATGGTATGTGTTTATAATCTCAGGATCCCTGTGATACCGTCTTTTTTGTCCTCTAGGACAGTGTTCCCCAACCTTGGGCCTCCAGCTGTTTTTGGACTACAATTCCCATCATCCTTGACCACTGGTCTTGCTAGCGAGGGATGATGGGAGTTGTAGTCCAAAAACAGCTGGAGGCCCAAGGTTGGGGAACACTGCTCTAGGAGATCAGAATTAGTCTAGGCTGTTATTTTCATTTATAGGAAGGCAATGGCACCAGCTAATGAGCCAATTGATATTTGCACCTAATTATACATCTCAAGTGTCTCTGATTGTAAGGAATGTCATTGACTTGTATTAGAATTTTTAAACTCGTCCTCCATCCTTCTATGAAATGCTCCCCAATTTTCATGCTGACCCCGCCCCCAAGCCCCACTGTTTCTCAGGAGTGAAAGTCCTTGTCTCACATGGAGTACATTGAGGGGGGTAGAACTGTATCAGCCATATCAAGTGCTCCACACTTAGGGCTCTCTTCAGGAACTTGTTTTTTTTAACTTTCCTTTTAGTCTAGATGGTAGATTTGTCAGATAAGTACATCTTGAAATCAGTTAAGATGGTTTCCCCAACAGTGAACTAGTTTTACTTTATTGTCTAGTAAATGTCAAGTGATAGTAATCCAAACATGATCATTACTTATTTTAATCAGTTAAAGCAAAGAGGCTAATCAATTAAGGGCATCTTTGAATAACTTCACATCCCTAAAATACATCCAAAATGTCATCTGTAATGATAAACTATGGCATTTATTTTAATTGGTTTAATTAATCACTTAAAATCACGATAGTCAACTGATTAAAAAAACTTTTAATCAGAGGACAATCTTTAAAATGTTTATTTCAAATGTTATCAATCATTGATGTCTCTTTCGATAGGCGAGATACTTCAGAACAGAAAATACTGACGTGACTCTATGCATGTCTGCTCAAAAGTAAGTTCCATTAAGTCCGATGGTGCTTACTCCTAGGTAAGTGTGTATAGGATTGCAGCCTGCATTTGTTTGCTCCACTGTGCAATTTTCAGTGACACCAATTGAAATATTGTGTGTTCGTATCTGGCATGTTTATTTCCCAGAAAAGACTTCTGAGCATTTACACTAAAAACTTCCTCTTTTTCCATTTACAGCTGTTGTGTGTTTCCTGAGCAAGAGTTTCATGATGACTAGTGTCCTAGGCTCAAGTCTGCAAATGTTTCCAGTGGTTGCTGGCTAGCACAGCCTGGTCTGTAAGGCAAACTGTGTGCTGGCAAGCCTGCAGGCATATGCGTTGTGTAATGAGTCCCATGTTATAATGGATCTAGTGTTAGAGAAAATTATGGGTGGCACCCACTGAGAACATTTCCTATGCAAGTTCCATTGGAAAGACCAGGAGCTATACAGGAGTTCACATTCATTTCCAAATTCATTGTGACTTGCACAGGAAGACATTTCCTAGCGGTCTGTGCCTTAACTTCACACAGATGAGGTGTTGCTCAATGTAGTTTCTGCTGTTCTCTTGATTTTGGCAATAGCAAATGGCCACCTTCCAATTTGCAAGAGGTGTAGGACATCCAACTCCAGCTGCTGTTTTAGTCAATGCACCTTCATAACATATCTTTAGGTGCCGGGGGAAAACATTCCTCTTCTCCCAGGTCTTTGGCTAATTAAACAATCTAGGGCCTTTTAAACTGGGGTGGGGTTGTGGATTTTGTTTGGTATATATTTTTGTGTATTTATATTGCAAACTGTCCTATGATCCTGAGATGAAGGGCAGTATAGCAGCAACAACAACAACAGTTTTCATATCCATCAATACTGTAATTTAGCAACTTTTGAGGATTGTGAACTTTAAAAGCTTGCATCTGGAACCAGCAGATTAAGAGATGCCCTGCTAGATGCCTAACATTTCATTCCCTCACATCTGTGGTAGGTTAAATTTAGACAAATCGCTAAACATTCCAGTGTTTATCCAAATTGAAACTCCAGGCTTTTGAGGTTCCCTCATCAATGGCTAAGTAAGATTTGCCTGACTTCATTTAGAATAAATACAGAACCTAAACACAAAGCCCAGGGGAGTTTTTGATGCATAGCCTGCCTAACCTCGGGCTGGTGGAGTTGGGATTTTTCATAAATGAAAGTGGGCAACTAAGTCAAACAAAACTTAAAAATAAAGTGTTTTCTTTTTAATCTTCCAGAGCCTCTTTGAAAAAAAGAGATTGTCCTTTCATTTAGCATCTCCTCCCCCATCGTTCAGTCTTCCTCTGAGTGGCTTCTGCTGGCTCCCTCACTGTGAGAAGCGAAGTTACAGGGAAACAGGCAGAAGGCCTTCTCAGTAGTGGCGCTCTCCCTGTGGAACGCCCTCCCTTCAGATGTCAAGGAAAGAAACAACTAACTGACTTTTAGTAGACATCTGAAGGCAGCTCTGTTTAGGGAAGTTTTTTAATGTTTGATGTTTTATCATGTTTTTACTATTCTGCTGGGAGCTGCCCAGAGTGGCTGGGGAAACCTCAGCCAGAATGGTGGGGTATAAATAATAAAATTGTTTGGAGGTCCTAGCAGGGGAGCACAGCTATCGTATACCCTTGACCGAAGAACGGTACACTCCTTCTATCTGGGATGGTTGTCCTCTTCCACCAAGCGCACAGCTTCAGGAGGGACGCGCATGGAGCGGTGAGGGAGGAAGGGGACACCCGCCTAGCCAGCCAGATCAGCCGAATCAACCCTGGCGATCAATGGGGTGACAGATGTCGCAGCCAGATGGCCCTCACAACTAAAGAATCATGGCAAGAAAAATTGGTGGACTATGCAGAACTGGCAAAGCTGACATACAAGCTACGGGACAAGGATAACTATAACTTTAAAGATGAATGGGAACCCTTTACAAAGTATTTGAAGACGCAACAAAGCGAACTGGACTCCTTGGCTGGTTTTGAATAAACATTCACAAACTTTTTATTGATAATAATCAGCTAAATAGTTTGAGGATCTATACAACTGTGTAACATGCAGAAAACAGCATTTTTAGAGAAATCAAAGACTGGAACTGAGGGAAGTTGGGGTGGGGTGGGTGGGTTCTGTGGGGGGGGAGGGGGGAGGGAAATGGGGGGAATAAGGATGATATATTTCTGGATAATATGTTTTGTTTTAATTCTGAATAAAAAGTTATTAAAAAGAAAGAAATAATAATAATAAAATTGTTGTTTTCTTGTATCTGGATTTAAATATTAATGTAAAAATGGTGGGACATTCAACAGAAATTAATTACTATTTTTTTAAAAAAATAGTAAATCAGGAGCATATTTGGAGATTGGGGTGGGAGCTCTAACACCATGGAACAAAAGAGAGTGTTGCCACACCCATAAGATTACCTTGGGGAGATCCACACCATACATTTAAAGCTCATTCGGCACACATTTAAAACACATAAATTCCCTCACAGAATCCTGAGAACTGTAGTTTGTTTATGATTCTAGGAATTGTAGTCATATGAGGGGGAAACACTACAGTTCCCAGGAAGTCTTGTGCTTTAAATATGTGTTGAATGTGGTTTAAAGGTATGGTGTGGCAGTGTTTTCAGTCTCTCAGTTTCAGCCAGTAACCAGTCTTCACCACGAGGCAAGGCTGGATTGCCTCCAGTTTGGGGTCCTGAGCCAGTCACTAACATGTGAGCAGTTGCCCCAGTGCAAGTATTTAAGAGATCGCACTGTGACACAGATAAAGAGTTGTTGCTGTTTTGTCACAGCAATAAATGTCAGCTGACGAATGGATGTTAGTTTCAGTGCATAGTAGTGAATATGGTGATGCTTCCCATTCTATCGTAACTATTATTACAAGGGGCACTTAATCAGGCTTCCTGGAAAGAAAGACCGCTCTCATTCCTTTTCTGGGTGGTATCTTGGGAGAAATGTGTTCTTTGAAGCCTCCTACGCGTATCGCCAATATTGCTTCCAGATGAAATAAGGATCTGAGAGAAAACTAGGGAAAGGGGCTTTGGTTCATTTCTTGGACCAGTGAATCCTCTTCCTTCCGGGGCTTTTAAGGAAGTAGTTCTATTTATTCCCTAGATTTTACAGCCAAACCAAATTTGAATACTTCAGTCAGAAATTCTTGACCAGAACCAAAAGGACAGGTTAGAAATCTAGGCTGACTTAGTGATGCTTCACTGCAACTGAGCATGAATCACGTGATCCTGCACATATTTACTTGGAACTAAGTCTTCAGAGGGCTTAATCCCAAGTAAACTGTGCATTACATATGGCCTCTAATCCATATCAACCTTCAACAAAGCCTTAGCGTAAACAAGGTTTTAGGTCTGCAGTGTAGTCAGGCACGCACAGTGAATTAATACCCTTAAGCACAACCGAGTCTCCAGACTCCCACTTCTCTCTCTTCTTCCCTCAGACTTCAAGAAAATGATGCCAGCTTTTGTTAAGAGCCCTGCCAGAGAGCTGTATAGATCCCTGTTAATAAACCAGTTAAGTTACCTGATTTCCATATCTAAGGTTCAACAGGCAGTACAAATTCTATGAACTAAGGAGGGGTGTGGTCAGGGAAGGGGGTATGACCTAAAGAGGGCCTGATAGAAAGGTATGGAGGGCCATATGCAATCCCTAGTCCATGAGGGCAACCCAAAGGACTCAGGAAAAAAACAGTTTGTAAATAAGGCCTTGACACATTAGGAGTTCGTTAATCCTCTTCACACATCCCTCAAATGTGTTGGAAAAATATCATGGAAACTTGTAGAGTGGACTTACTGTCGTCAAACTAACTTTGGCAAAGCAACCTAGTCCTCCCAGAGGAAGGCCACAATAAACTCCAGTGCAGCTGAGAAGAAATTATTAAAAGCAGCAACCGAGATGTTTGTTTATTTTGAACTTTTTTGCCTCACCAGCCCTGCAAACAGGGAGTGCTTTGACTGCTTTCCACCTCTGACGGTTCCTGTTCCACACATGTCCCCACATTTACTTAAAAACAAAACAAGTGGAAATGGCCATAAAACTCACCCATCCATAAAGCTTCTCTTTTCCCACTGCCAGTTCTTTGCCTTCCACATTGGACTGGGTGGAGATAAATAAGCCAGTGTTATAATGATCACCTTATATTTAACAAGGTGAAGGTGACCTTGAGGGATCCAGGATTATTGCAGTTTCTGGTCAGCACCTTTCATGAGTTTAGGTTTCTGACATTCCCAATGCGTTTTCCCCCATCTCAAATAAGCTGTATTTGTATGTAGAGCTAGTAGTAACAGCAAACGTACAGTAGTCATTTTGACTGTGCAAGGAAACACGTATCTAGCTGGCACTTGCTTTGTACAAACCCTTAGGCTGTGTATACAAGCAAAGTTACAGCGCAAATATTTGTTGGGATCCTAGCTTTCATTGCGTAAACACTCTTGATTTGCAAACCTTCCTTGAAAGGCTAGTCCAAAATATTTTAAGAGAGCATACAAAGTTCTGACATACTGAAAAACTCTATACCGATGGAAGCATCCATAAGTGTAGAAAACTCAATTCTGTTTAAGTAGCATTAGCATTAGGACGCGGGTGGCGCTGTGGGTTGAACCACAGAGCCTAGGGCTTGCCGATCAGAAGGTCAGTGGTTCGAATCCCCACGATGGGGTGAGCTCCCTTTGCTCGGTCCCTGCTCCTGCCAACCTAGCAGTTCAAAAGCACATCAAAGTGCAAGTAGATAAATAGGTACCACTCCGGCAAGAAGGTAAACGGCGTTTCCGTGCACTGCTCTGGTTCGCCAGAAGCGGCTTAGTCATGCTGGCCACATGACCCGGAAGCTGTGCACCGGCTCCCTCGGTCAATAAAGCGAGATGAGTGCTGCAACCCTAGAGTCGGCCACGACTGGACCTAATGGTCAGGGGTCCCTTTACCTTTACCTTTAGCATTAGGGGAGGGATGTGGTATTTGGGGAAATTTGCCAGGAAATGGCAATGCTTACATCATGGAGACTAATGATCCTCTGTGTTGGGACTGTACACCCAAGGCACAATTTATGGGACCCTGGAAGTGGCCTGAATTCCATAGTTGCTCTTCAGCATTTCACAGATGGACTCAGAGATACTTCTTCTCTGCACAAGCACCTTGAAGGGGCCAAGGTGGATCCCAGCAGCCCAGATGCATGCATGGAAGAAAATGGACGTTCACGGAGTGACACCAACATAAAATGCATCATATATCTACAGGACCGCAGCTCAGCTGAACAGCAAATGCTTTGCATGAAGTAGGTTGAAAGTTCAATCCCTGACATTCCCAAGTGACAGGAGCGAGCCAGCAGTAAATCACACTGAGCAAGCTGGTGTTAACTCTTTATTAGCAAAAACAGGGTCTTCACAGAAGAGTTAGGTCTAATGAGCACAGCAACTCCACTCATGGTCATCCCAGCACCACTCCCCAGCCTCCGAGCCTTCTTCCCTTGGGGTTCCCAAGCTGGTTCCTCCAACCATTCCTCTGCGTCCAACCAGTCCCTGATACCGACTGCAAAAGTCGCTAGACTGAAACCCTGGAGAAGTGCTGCCAGTCAATGTGGAAATATTGAGCTAGATGGACTAATAGTTGGGCTTGCTATGAAGCAGTTTCCTAAATGGCCCCAAAAACTGAAATCAGGAGCTAAAAAAATTAGACCAGATAATTCAGATGATAAACTATACAAGCCAAGACACCAAACTTGGCATAAGCACCTGGCCTGGCCAGGCAAATGCCAAGGCTCATGAGCCCTAGGACAGCCTATTGGGGTTGACACAAGCCACTTACACAATTTATTTTCTTTATTCATTTCCCAGAATGCACCTGGGTTTCATGAGGGCCCAGAAGCACTCCTGTGGTGGTGGGGAGGAATTCATTGGTGGCTCTTTCTGAAAGAGAAAACATTTATCAAAAAGATATATCTATTTTCCCATATTGGGTCTTGATAAGTTATTGTCTTGTCTCCAAGTTTTACTCAAAGTAAACCTACTGAAATTAATGGAACTAAGGTAATCATGTTAATTAATTTAAATGGATCTATTACTGAGTACAACTAGCATTGGCTACAACCTATTAACATAATATGAACCTGAAGATGATAAAATACAACATACCATCCCCAAGCCTTCATTTCTGTTTTCTCTAATCCGTCTAAGTGAAATATTGTCTTTTCATTATATAGACTTTATATCCAGAAGACATTAATCCAGAATTTAACCTGAGCTACCAGATACACATATGGCACAGGCCTTATCTGTATGCATCACAAATAGATACCACGTGGCTGTGAATAAATCAGTTTCATTTGTTTATTTTTATCTATTTATTTAATTCCATTTATGAATCACTTCTCAAAATGTATATCTCAAGGTGATTTAAAA